CTAAGATTAAACTATGCTAAGTCATGTTAGCTTAGCCGCTTAAGGGGGTTTATTTACAACATGGCATCACCAGGTGACGCGTGTGCTATGTGGAGTTAGCACTTTCTGTGACAAATCATTGTCATGGTAACCAATGCATGCCAGTGCAATTCAAGCAGTTTAGTGTCTGCCTATTTCAAAGAAGAATAATTAATCATAACTATTTATAATTAATTATAAATATTTAGATCCGCTGTAGATATTTACTTGACCTCTCAGGGTCAACTGTCTGTCAATTCTAAGAATGTTAATTTCCTGGTTAAGGGAAATAACTTTCTTACTGTACAACTCTACACAGAGCTTGTAGCATACATCTGCATGATTAAGTGACTCCAGTTATGAGCAAACAATGAACAACCTCAGGTGTGATACAAGTAGGACTTTATTAACTACATAAACACTTAAACTAGTCTTACATACACATACACACACACACACACGCACACGCATACAGTTGGTATAGGAAAGGGTTAAAGCTTAGGCAGTAAAAAGAAGAGAAATAAAAACATGAAGCTATGGTACCATTTGATATTCAGCAGATCTACAGCCTGAAGGAAACATCAGTTTCTTAGTTCAAACACACCTTTGTAAAAAGGTGCAAATGATACTTAATGTATCAATTAATAAGACTAAGTTTGATACTTGCATGTCTTGTCTGTCTGAAAGAGAGTCCTGATGCACCACAGCGGTGAGGGATCTCTGGCAGCGTGTCCCTCCTTCCTCCCGGGTTTCGGCACCGATGTAACAAAGTTCTTAGATCGGGAAGAAGGAGGCGGGAACCGGTGAACGTTTAAACTAAACTTTAATAATAAAATAAACACAAAATAGAGTGACAACCCCTCACGGGCGACTGCCGTGCACAAACAGAACCAAAACACAAAATAAAGTCTAGGCCTAGTCCGCTCTCGTCCTTCACTGTCTTCACGCCTCCTTTTATCCTTCCAGAGCTCCTCCGTGGGACTCGAGACCGGTGAGTGGTGCAGGTGTCGCGCATTATCATTAACATTAGCATTATCCTCGCTCCGTTCCCCCGGCTCTCGGCCCCGCCCCACTCGTCACAATAGATTTTTTAAAGTTTCATTGTTTGTGTCAGAAATGAGACCGGGATCCAACAGCAGGTGATTCAAAATTCAAAGTTTATTGAAAACTGTGATAACAGAAAATGCTCCGTCAATAAATCAGCCGGATAGCAAATCCGCCAGCAAATAGTCAGCTTGATCAGCACAGAGGTCAGACCAGCCTCTGCCGAGCCCACGGAGAAGAGAGGCGGCGAGCCGGCAATTGAAAGCCGCCACTGAATTCCAAAGGTAGTGCCGAGCGTGGGCAGAGAGGAATCGGAAGGGGCTGCTGTGAAGAGACAGGCCTATGATAAGAGAAAGCCTAGGCAGAGAGCCGACCAGAGTACTAGAGGGGCAGGCGGGTAAAAAGGGGAGGGTGACGGGTAAAAAGGAGAGGGTGACAAAAACAGGAACGCCAGACCGACTAGACTAGAAAAATAAACACAACAAAACTGGGTCAGAAAACACAACATGCACCGAGACGATCTGAGCTTCAGAACAACACATTATGGACTGACACAAGACAGCAAACACAAGGGCAAGATAAAGGGAAGATAATGAGGACAAAACGGGGTGCAGGTGAGGAGGGAGAATTAGCTAACAGGGATAACAAGAGGGGCGGGGGAAACACCATGATGACAGCAGAGCACATGGCGAGCCGTCAAAACAAAAGGCCATGTGCTCCATGACAACAAAGCCTAAGCAGACGCCACCGAGATCGTGACAGTTTGTATTTAAATCCCTCCATAACCAGGCACCACAATAATTACCTGACTTGCATACTGTCATGATCTCCAGTCTGTTGCTCATCTGCACATCTGCACTACAGTTCCCATCATGCTCCTTGATCTTCAACCTGCACTCAGTCAGCCTTAAACCACACCATCCACTTCATTAACTCACCCTATTTAAGCACACAGCTTGGTTGCTTGGTCTTGTTTAGAGTCAAGACTGTATTTTCCAGAGTGCCTGTCACCTTTGTATCTCCAGTGTTACTTCTGAGTTTCTGTCTCCAAAGTTTTCCTCCTGTGTTCCCCCAGTGTTTGGCATTACCTGGATACTTACCTAAAAGAAGACTATCATCTCTCCAGCACCTGCAAAGACAGTAAACACCAGTTACCTCACCATCTAAACTCTGAACTGCTATAATCTTGATTTACTTACCTGCATAACTCCATTTTGCTGATCACTGGAATAAAACTGAACTGTTGTTGTCCATCTGTCTGAGTCTGTGTTACACAACACATACATTCTGCCGCAATCTCTTAGATCTGAATTTGAATTACTTTGCATCTCTAGGTCCAAACTTAAGAATAGATGTGATTGTGCCTTTGCTCGTTGGACCTAAACTATGGAACAGCCTCCCGGCTGACATAAGAACTGATTCAGATATTTTTTTCAGATCTAATCTAAACGCATTTATTTTATTTGGCTTACAATATTCTGTGATTCCCCCTTATATATACCAGTTTCTTATTTATATTTACTATTATTATTATCTGATTATTGTTATGTCGGTAACACTTTAGAATAGGGAACACATATTCACTATTAACTAAGAGTTTTCCCTGAACAAACTCCTAGTTTGCTGCTTATTAATAGTTAGTAAGTTAGTTGTTAAGTTTAGGTATGGGGTGGATTAAGGGATCTAAAATACGGTCATGCAGAATAAGGCATTAATATGTGCTTTATAAGTACTAATAAACAGCCAATATGCTAGTAATATGCATGCTAATAAGCAACTAATTAATAGCTAAAATTTGATCCTTAAAATAAAGTGTTACCGTTATGTCTTCATTGTAGTCTTTTATATTGTGCAGCACTTTCGTCAACTTTTTTTAAATATAAATAAATATTGATTTGATTGATTGATTGATTGAGTGCAGCTGTTCGGCCAAGGAAACCCATTCCATTAAGTTCCTGCTGAAGTTTTGGTGCTGATATTAATGCCAGTGGATGTTTGGTGGCTTTTACGCACCATTTGTCTCAGCATTTGTGACCTGCTCTGTGACTTTACATGGTCGTGTGCTTCGTTGCTGAGTTGCTGCTGTTCCTAAATAATGTTTATGCAAATTCAGACTGCATGATGAGGTGATTTTTTTATACCCCTGTTTCAATGCGTCTGATTGGTGTGCCCCAAAACTTTTGTACATATAGTGTATATTATACCTTCAGAGTACTTCGGTGCTCTCTTGTGGAAGAAGGATAAAAAACATTCTGCCATAAGTCTTTACAGCATAAATGCAAGAGAAATGCATAGAGCACTTGTTAAATAACAATAAATCAATTCCATTTTACTCATCAAATGTTATGTGGCCTCTGGTTTTAGTCAGATGTCTAGTGGAGATATGAACTGTAAGTTCTCACTACAATGATTGGCTGAACGGAGTACTCTTACTAGTTTTTAAATTCATTTATTTGTTATTCATTATGTGTTCATTGTTTCCGACATTTATCAGAATCTTCCCAAAGAATGGATCATCATTTGATAAAACCAAAAAGAGTTACAGTAAAGATACTTACTACATACAAGAAGCTTCATAAATAGCATCCATACACACAAATAAGTTCACAAAAGCTACAGAAGCTAGAAACAAGTGACAGTGATTTTCATCAAGTCTCCAGTGTGAAAGTGATGCTAGTGCACTGTTGTTCAAATACAAATAAAATGTTAAATAAAAGTATTCCAAGTATTGATCATAAAAAGGTATAAACAGTTAAAATAGCTTAAACAGTGCTTTATAACATATGTTTGAGCAATATCACAGAGTGCAGCTAATCCCAGTTGTGCTTACTATAATAACAGCCCAGTTGCAGGTGTGAGTGCTTTTAAATAAATGTGCAGTAAATAGGACATTAATGTAGAGTTACTTACATTTCAGACATAATTTGGATAGTTAGCCATAGCACTCTTGCAACGCTGCTTGTCTTATCAAATTAGAAGGCTGAAAACTAACTGAATAAAAATAAAATGCAACATAAATTAAAATTCCCAAGCAAATGCTCATATCCAGCACAGCAGGTTGAGCTTCATGCACACTGCAAAATCTACAACATAATAATAACTAAACTGTACCATAACAGTCCTATTTTCTTAATTTCTAATTATCACTATAACAGCACACAATATTTCAATTTTTATCGTGTACACTGATAGGTTGGGAGTGCCTTCTAGTGTGTAAAAAAGAAAAAGGAAAATAATTTTGTTTCTGCCCTAAATTTTTAAACAATGCATGATACATTATATTTCTCTAAATAACTTTGAAGATGTAAACCTTTTTTTAGGATTATAGATCCCACAAGGCCCCCAATCATGTCAGTACTAAAATGTACAGATGTTTGATATTGCAGTAAATAGATTGTCAAATTATATAATTATCTCTTTTGGACATACAGATTAAAAAATAAAGATCTCTTGATTGAAATTCTCTTGATTGAAATATCATAAATACAGTTACTTGCTGTTTACTTTAAATTATTATCATAGAAAATGGTTGTATTTTTCCAGTGTAAACTTTTAAAAGTATTCATTAAAATTAAAACATTACCCAAAAGTTTTGAGTATTGTGCAAGAAATAAATTACATCCAGCTACATGTAAAGGACATATATATATATATATATATACAGTGGTGTGAAAAAGTGTTGGCCCCCTTCCTGATTTCTTATTTTTTTGCATGTTTGTCACACTTTAATTTTTCAGATCATCAAACACATTTAAATATTAGTCAAAGATAACACAAGTAAACAAACAATGCAGTTTTTAAATGAAGGTTTTTATTATTAAGGGAAAACAAATGGACAATGGCCATCTTGAGGCCATGGACATTTACGATTTTTGATAATTTACATTCTGATAGATACTGAGAGCTGCTGCGTTCTGGTAAATTAAGTCCACGTTGGTTCCAGTTCTTGATCGAATTATGTCATACGCACACTGGTGGAGGTAAACATACTGCTCCTGTTGTAGAAAACAGAAAAAAATAGTGTAAAAATATGAGTCTGAGTATGAAAACTTACTTTGGCAGTTTCTTTGTAGAATAAATGTCAACACCAATGTTTATGTAAATGTCATCTAAAAGAAATATTCTCGGTTTAGTATGAGTTATCCAATTTTACTGTCACTGTGACAGCTCATCATAAATACTACAGTGATTATTAAAACAGCTTTACAGTTAAAATACTACAAAATACATTCAACAGAGTAATTTGGGCTTTGGATACATCATTGAGTATGTTTACATGGACAACAATACTCCGATTTTAATACGATTAAGACAATACTCTGATTAAGAATCTACCATGTAAACAGAGATTTTTGATTACCTTAATCCGGCTAAAGTCATAATCGAAGTAAACAGAAATCGAATTAAGACATGTGGAGTATTCCTATTTTAGTCGCATTACTGAAGTGCAGAATAGACATGTAAACACCTTAATCACATTATTACCATCGTGTAGGACTTTTCGCCGCATTTTGCGACAGGATACACACATGGCAGTGGTCAACCGTTTGACGGCCAATAAAAGAGCTTCAACACCGGCATCGTCTGTATACACGTACAAATAATTAACTGCATTTGAAGCTTTCATAAAATTGAATATGAAACACCCAAAACTGTACATGGCATCATCACGAATACGAACTATATGTGTATGTGTGAAATTCCGGAGGGGACGTCAAATGGCGTCACGTGGGGACGTAATGACGTGTGCCATTAATCGAACTATGTACTATAACATGTAAAACGGGAACATGAAAGGAATATTCTAAAAGCAACTCATGTAAACACCATAATCATAATATTGGCTTATTTAGAATAAGGTAAATAATTAGATTACTGATGTCCATGTAAACGTAGTCATTGGTCCAGATCAGGGGTGTCAAACTCAGTTCCTGGAGGGCCACAGCCCTGCAGAGTTTAGCTCCAACCCTAATTAAACACACCTGATCCAGCTAATCAGGTCCTTCAGGCTTTTTTGAAAACTAGATGGGTATGTGTGTTGGAGCAGGGTTGGAACTAAACTCTGCAGGGCTACTGGCCCTCCAGGAACTGAGTTTGACACCCCTGGTCCAGATGGACCATAAACAAATTCTAAGCTATCCAATCCTGACCCACCCCAACCACAAATAAAGAATGTTTCCTCAGCTTCTCAAACTTTGACAGATGCCTGTTCTGAAACTTCAGCTCCATTGCCGTTCCCCTCACCATCTGAAGCGGCTCAATCCTTCCAGCAACTATAGAAGGCATTCACATCAACACCCATCATCACACCATTGATCCCCCCCCCAAAAAAAAAAAAACTGCCTTCCGCCAAGCAGGAGTATGATATTGGCCACTGGGAGCTACTTAAGTAAACATTCAAGAAGTGACACCACTTGCTTTAAGGTTCCCACCATTCGTTCCAGGTCATCACATTGCAACTTGGAATCCCTCTGCGATGCCAAACCTTCACCAGGCCTGGTTGCCCTTGTTCTTCTCTAGATTCCATTTTAGTGATTATCCAGGGTCTGCTTCAGAATCTATTCTTCTAGAATAAGTGTAATAATCATTGCACTCATCTCTGGGCTCTGTGCATCCAGGGACAACCCAAACTTTTATGCCCTTCTGCAACAAAGCACTGGTGGTGCCAACTTGGAATGTGTCCAGATGATGCATGATGTCCAGAGCTTTGTCCACTTATGCCCAGGTTGTGCCATGTCCGAAGTACCTCACAGCCTTCCAGCTGGAAAGCTCCTTCCACTGCCTACACCTCATCATCTATGGTCACATCTAGGGGTGGACTTCACAACCAACGCTCCTTCCTCAGTAGTCAAACCTGTGTCCTGATGGCTACTGACTGTTTCTCTAAGACCTGCCACCTGGTTTATTTAAAGGGGTTACCAAAATCATTTGAGACTGTAGAAATACTGTTCCATCATGTCTTCTGGAACTACATAGTCCACAATTATGGTCCACAAGTCCACAATTCATATGCAGTCTGGAAGCTTTCTTCAAGCTGCTGGGCAGTTTTTCTTCAGGCTATCATACCTAATCCCCTGTTTCCTCAGAACTTACAGCCATCAACATCAACAGCTCTAGAGTAACTTCCTGCCCTGGGCTGAATGTGCCTAAAACAGTCTCCGGAAAGGCCATTCTGATGCCCTGTGATCAGACACCTTTTCCTACCAGTCCAGACAGAAAGTCTGGTTATCTACCCTTGAACTTTGCCTCTGGGCCCTATTTTAATGATCTAAGCACATGGTCTGAAGTGCATGGAATAATCTAGAGAAGAACAAGGGCAACCAGGCCTGGTGAAGGTTTAGCATCACAGAGGGATTACAGGTTGCACCATTATGGAATTTCTCTTAATGAGTCATGGGTGTGTTTTGGGTATAATGTGCAATAAACCAATCAGAGTCTCATCTCCCATTCCCTTTAAAAGCCAGCTGCACTTGCACCATTGTGGATTCGCTATTTACATGGCAGAATTTGCAAGAGCAAAGATTGAACAATTCTCCAGAGAGGAAACAGATCTTCTCGTGTGCGAGGTTAAAGCACACGAGCAGACCATCTATGGGACAAGCCGGATTCCACCAAAGCCCCCTGAGGTGAAGCAGGCGTGGGAGGACTAATTTCATTCATCATTACTGCAAATAGGTAATTCTGATACATGCAATGACTATCCATTATGATGTAGGCATTTTATCTTTATGTACACAATAATAATCTTTTACATTGTAATCTTTTCATTTTTAATATTTGGCACATTAACGCTACATGTCCCTGTGTGTATAATAAGCAGAGTATACACGCATTGTGCACCCACCTATAGGCGCACATTACTAACGCACCCTTTAAATAAACAACAAAAAAATACTGCGCCATTGACAATGGCGTAATCGTTTCAGTTGCTTTAAAATAGCAGTGCACTAACAATGTGCCTGAACACATCTCGTTTTCAGACCAGTACGCCCATGGGCAAACAGATGGGTGCAAGTGCATTTGCTCTTTAAACAATGTGGCGCTGGACATGAAAATGATAACTGCATCGGGCTGAAAATAGCAAAACACTTGCGTCGTGCCTGGCATCTCATTGCGTCTAGTGTATGATAAGGCCCTCTGTCTTCCATGCAGAAAGTAGTTTCCTCAATACATTGGCCCATATCTGTGGACCATCCCAGACCAACGCTGTAGATCACTCGAGGTGACATTCTGGACCATCCCTACTCACCATGTTCCACTACAATCATCCCAACCATCCAGCTCCTCAGGGACATGGTCAACCAGAGCGCCCCCTCTCCACTCTGGTCATCAAGGACTCCATATATACTCATCACATACCCTCATTGTCTAGTCTTACAGTACATAGAGGACTCTCTGATTGCACTACCCTTCAGTAGTGTTCTCTTCATGACTCCCTCATGGTTCCTCTGTGTGTACCATCATTACCAACTGCATTATCATTGTGTCATCTTCTACATCTGTGTCTGATTTCTACTGCCATTCCTGCTCCACCTGTTGTTTACCCATGTGTTCAATAAAGAATCATCTGGCTCAGTCTGCTTTCTTACAGTAAGTGCTTTTACAAAATTATAAGCCTCGCATTTCTGCTCTAAAAGCTGGCTGCACTTACTTTCGTTGTAAGTGCCTCACTGTAACCGCCATTTTTTTAAAGGAGGTACAAGCTTAACTTGTACTGATCCCCAGAAAACCTTACCTCAGTCTGCACCATGAGAGGCCTGTGCATGCGCATATCATTAACAATTCCGTAGATGTCCACCATGCT